GAAACCGACTCGACGGCACTTAACAACAACAATATATATATATATAGTTATTGAAAACCCTACACATTTTTATTATCATTATCCTTACTTTTTATCTGTGGGAAAACTGGGGCTTGGATAATAACTTGACCGAGACCACACAGTTAATAAGTACCTGAATCAGGATCAAAAGTTCATGGCTTTTTTTCTATCACCCACAAAATAGAACACAACCTTCCCTTCCTCAATTATTTCAGCCATGCTAGAAAAATACTTCCTTCTACCTTATATGATTCAACAAAATACAAACAACATAGACAGAGAGTTCCAGGGATCGTCACATTCTGTAGATCTCAGTTCAGGGAGAGAACACTACTGTCAGAGATTGTTTCAAAGGACCTTTCTTTTCCCCAAACCCCAGTGTTCCTTCCATCAGCTGTTGCTCCAAATCTCCCTAGGTTGGTCTTACTGGCCACACAGGTCATAGTGTGTTGGGTTCAATCCACAGTGTTCCAGGCACCAGAGCCAAACACCACAAAGAGCCCCACTGCCAGCAGAGTGGATTCTCCAGTAGAGGTCTCCAGAACAAGAGGCCATCCCTGAAGGGGGCTGCAGAGAAAATTATTTGCAGCGGAGGAGCCCAGGGCCCAGCACCCAGCAGAGACATCAACAAATGCTGCCAACTAGCTGCTGATAGGAAGCCCTTCTAAGCACCCCTTGATGTAAATCTTCTTTTCTCAAAATTATACTACTCCATCCCTTAATCCTCTAGACAGAGTAACTATGAAACTCCCTGATCTGAGATCATTATCATAGTATACAAAGATTTATTTAGTCATTCACCCACTGGGAGTTCTGCTTTGAATCCAAAGATTTCCTTCAACTATAAGAAAGATCAAGAACAATGTCAGATGTAAAGGACACCTTAAAGACCACAAGCAAGTCCTCATTTTAGGAATGAAGAAACAGGGTGCTACAGGGTGCTGTGAAGGCTAAAACTAGTGTTTTTCTTAAGATCATACATCCAGTCGTTGAAAAGCATGGGATTAGTGCCCCAGGCAGCCTTTTTTCTAGTTTACCAGTCTTTTCACTGGATTGGTGGTTTTTCAAATTGCCAGGCACATTTATTATTAATCACAGAATCAATTTAATGGGTAGAGGAAGTCAGTTTTTTTGTTGTGTGTTTTTTTTTTAGTGAACTGTAAATAAAAGGAACAGAATGGAATGGAATAAAATGAATTGGAATGGTAAAGAAAGGAAAGGAAAAGGTCAGTATGCATTTACATACTACGGGTAAAAGAACCGCTTTATGAAAGTTAGACCCAAGCTGTAGTAAAATACCTGTTTTATTGTGAGTCATAATTTAAGTTTGAAACTTGCTGTACTAGATTACAATTCTCAGGATTAGAGTAAATCCATGTTTAAAAGAAGAGGAGGTGACTTCACTGCAGAATTCTAGAGGACATTCAAAAGTCACATGAAGACAGTCTTGTTTCAAGGATTTTTACGAACTTTACTGTTTAGTTTGAGGAAGCTGAAAATGCAGGGCTTATAAATCAAGGGAGGTTAGCAATATGAAATAATTGCAGCAATGAATTATTAAATAGAACCTGGTATCTATTTTGAGACATGTATGATATTTACATATAAGTGGCGCTGTGGGTTAATTAGCCAGACTAGAAAGCCATTTGAATCACAAGGTTGGTGGTTCAAGCTCAGCAGTTGCTCCTCAGAAACCCTATACAGGGTCGCTATGGGTAGGAAACCAACTTGACGGCACTTAACAACAACAAATTATATGAAACTAATGTAATTAATCGTTCTGCTGTGCGTAAGGTCGCTATGAGTCAGTACTGATTCGATGGCACCTAACAACAACAACAATGTAATTAATTATACGGTGTGATGCTATAGATTAAGCATTGTACTGTTAACCACAAGGTCAATGGTTCAAACCCACCAGCTGCTCCCTGGAAATCCTATGTAGGGTCGCTATAAGTTGGAACAAACTCGATGATACTTCACAACAACAACTGCCATTTGACAATATATTTTCAATGAAGTACTATCCACTGTTCTGGAAGTAAGAGGCTTTTGATATTTCAGACATTTCTCATTTGATTCCTGACTCATATCTTCAAGTAAAATAAATCATTCTATAGGAAGATAGATGGCCTATAGGCACAAGCTATGAGAGAAGACTTTGAATCCTTTCAGGTCACTGCAAGTCAAGACACTGTTGGTAATTAATGTCAGAACAAACTCAGCTACTTGGAAGTTTTACATTTTACGTCTTAACGATGTCAGAAGCAATCAGTAGCAAGAGGCTGCTCAGATTCATTACAAGATGCAGACAGCTCCCATGAGCTGACACATCTCTTCTCATTTTCTCCTTTGTACTGCTGCTAGCATTGAGGTGGTGGTGGTGGCGATGTGCCGCGGAGTCGGTTCCAACTCATAGCAACCCTGTACAGGCTTTCCGAGGCTGTAAATCTTTATGGGAGCAGAAAGCCTCATCTTTCTCCTGCGGAACAGCTGGTAAGGAAGGCACTAGAAAGTTGCATATCTCTACTGCACAGTTTCAGTTTTCCAAAGCAACACCTCAAGGAAATGCAGTTTGGAGTCCCGGTGTGGCACTGTGGTCGGTTTGAACCACAAGGTCAGCAGTACACGCTCACCAGCCCACTCCTAGGAAAGCTTACACAGAGTCGCTACGAGTCAGCACTGACTCAAAGGCACTTAACAACAACAAGATACCAACATGAAGAACTTCAGTACTTCTTTTGTTAAAACCACAACTGGGAATCAAGACTCTTTAATTATTGTCTGGACAGTGTGTTCAATGTTCCCACTTTAATGCCCCACACAAGCAATCACTCTCTAGATTTAATTCTACCATCAAATATCTCCTTTTCAAATAACCTATACATAGGTAATGAGGATGAGATATCATATTTTCCTTCAGTCCTGACAGTCGGAAAGCTCAAACCTAAATTTTATGTTGAATACTAGCAACTATCCTTAGCCCAGGAGTTCTGGTGTGCTGCTGCTGTGGGTTAATGCGCTGGACTGCAAAGACAGTTTGTACCGCAAGGTCAGACGTTCAAGCTCACCAGCTGCTCCTTGGAAACC